TAGAGCGATGGTCTGCGGACTGAAGGGTCCGGGTTCGATTCTGATCAAGGGCATGTACATTGGTTGCGGGTGCATCCCCGGGAGTGTGCAAGAGGCAGCTGGTCGATGTTTCTCTCTCATCAACGTTTCTAGCTCTCTGTCCCTCTCTCCTCTTCTCTGTAAAAAATCAATAAAATATATATATATTTAAAAAAAAAAAAAAGCAGCCAAAATCTCTGTTAGAGGGTCAAAGTTTGATAATCTCAGTATTATTTATGTGAATTATATATATTCATAGATACAAATAAATATCAATATATAATTCACATAAATAATACTGAGATTATCCAAGTCCTCTCGTTTCCTATCTGTAAATGATAAGTTGTGTTGATCTGTAAGTGATTAGAAGTGTGTTTTAATCTACCACTATAATTGTATTCTGTGAATCTCTGCATATTTTAATCATTATATATACACATAAATGTATATACATATATATGTGTATGTATGTATATGTGTATATGTGTATATATGTATATACCATGTTTCCCCGAAAATAAGACATCCTCCGAAAATAAGACCTACTTACAGGTTTCCTTCTGAGTGAAATATAAGGCATCCCCCCGAAAATAAGGTCCCCCCCCTAGGCTAAACATGAGAGATTTGGTCCACTGATTTTGAAAGAAATGGAGTCACAAGAAATTCACCAGGAAATTCAGGAATTGGATTGTTATGATGATGTTCCAGAAGATGATGACATGATTGTCATTGAATAAATGAGTAAATTCTTGATACTGTAGGATTCACGGTTTGTCTGGTTTGTGTTGACATCTACTGTACTACCGTACCATATACAGGTAATAAATTTCCTTTATTTTCATTTAACAATAAATGTGTACCATATTCTTCTTCATGGAAAAATAAGACATCCCCTGAAAATAAGACCTAGCGCATCTTTAGGAGCAAAAATTAATATAAGACACTGTCTTATTTTCGGGAAAACAGGGTATGTATATATATGTGTGTGTATATATACACATTATAATATATATTGCTAACAATAAAAAGGCTCAGCATAGATTTTGTTCTTTACTGCTTCTAATGCCACTGAAAATTCTTTGGGGTCATTTTTAGTTTACTTATATCATTTCCTTCAATTAGACAAAATTTCCTTTTGTCTCCTTCTTGTTGCCTTCCTTTATCTTTTGTCTTTTCTTTCATACAGCTTATTTTTTCAAGAAGTTTGCTGAAAATACAAAATTAACAGATAACTAAATTTTACTTGGCTTCTTATAATAAATCCTTTCTAAAACACTATTATTGCCCTGCCTTCTGAATGCTAGGCTACGTTCTTTTAATTTTTTAAATTGGGTGCATGTGTGTTTTAGAAAGGGAAAGAAGGAGAGAGAGAAAAAACATTGATGTGAGAAAGAAACATGGATCGATTGCCCCACACCGAACCCACAACCTAGGAATCGAACCCACCACCCTTTGGGGGATGGGACCATACTCCAACCAACTGAGCCACACCAGCCAGGGCCAGGTTATGCATTTTTAGATGCAGAAAGTTTTCTTTCACTGTTTTGTGGGGGTCTTCTTTTTCTCCTCCTCCTCTTCCTTCTTCATATGTAAGCTTGAAAAGGAAGAAATTGATTCTGGTTTGTTCTTTGTTTCCAAATTGTGGGTAGGTTCTTCTTGGCTACTCTCACGGCACGTACAGAGGCTGTTAAAATACTCTTCTCAGGTTTTAGGCTGCAGAGCTGGTTGTTATGAGACATCAATTAAATAATCCAGAAGCCCACGAGGAATGAGGAAGAAGCTGGGACAGGAGCCACCGCCAGCGGGGGAATTTCATCTCTGCATAATTTCTTCTTTGTGTCTGCTAACACCGCTCAGCCACGGGGCCAACTTTTTACGTCTGGTTTCCAATTTTTATGCCAAGCACACGATGGGACTGTCCCACCCCTAGCTGGTATAAGGCTTCTCTCCACCTCCCTCCCACTGGCTGTCTGTGGGAGAGCCACATCTGAGCTTGCCTTGGGCTCCCATAGCAATGACATCCAATGCTGTTGGCTCAAAACAAAAAAGTGGTTCCACGTGGAAAGACCCTGGCTGTGCCAGGACTCACCTTCACCTCTGAAAAGTAGGGGACTCCCCCAGGATCTCCAGTGTCAGTATTTCCACATGACACTGCTTTCTAAGGAAGGGGAACTGCGGTCCAGCTCTCAATCTCACCTACATTATCGTCCTAACTGCCCCACAGATTAACCAAGAAAATCAGCATGTTACATTCCTGACATCTTCCTCTAGTTTTCATTTTGATGCCAACATTTCAGATAGGATATGGCAGTAGAAAAAGGAGGTTAGACCCTTATATTCAACTGTCATCTTACTCAGAGATCCTGCCAATCTGGGTCTGATTTTTATGAAGAAAAAAGGTAATTTTCTTTACAGAGGTTCACCTATCTCGAAATCCTGTCTGGACATGAGGATTCAGATATTGTTCCCACAGAAAATTGGCTCCAAAGAGTTAACTGATTCTTCCTGCTTTATAAATTTTTAGCCAGGTGAATCTCAGTTTAAAAAAGGAAGCAAGAAAGGAAAGAAGGAAGGAAGGAAGGAAGGAAGGAAGGAAGGAAGGAAGGAAGGAAGGAAGGAAGGAAGGAAGGAAGGCTTCGTTTTGTTTTAATTTTTTTTTTAATTGCATTTACTTAGAAGCATTCAGAACGTCAACAAAATAGCTGCAATTGTCCGGCTGGGGTGGCTCAGGGGTTGAGTATCGACCTATGAACCAGGAGGTCATGGTTCAATTCCTGGTCAGGGCACACGCCCAGGTTTGTGGGCTCGATTCCCAGTTGGGGGTGTGCGGGAGGCAGCCGATGAATGCCTCTCTCTCATCACTGATGTTTCTATCTCTCTCTCCCTCTCCCTTACTCTCTGAAATCAATAAAAATATATTTTTTAAAAGCTGCAATTGTTTTTTTGCATTTACAGAATGGTATTCCGTAAGCAGAACAACTATTTCCCCTAAGCTCCATCAGAGACAACTTAAGATGAAAAACAGCCATCCCCATGTATCACTAATTAGAGCTGGGCACCAACAAAAACCCACTTCAAATTTCCACGCCAATTTACGACTCCCATCCTGCACTCAGCAAGGCTAGTGGCTACGGAAAACACCGCCAGCGCCCTGGCAGGTTGGGCTCGGTTGGTTGTGCCAGGTCCCATGTAGCGAGAGGTCCCGGTCAGGACACACACCCAGGTTACAGGCTCAATCCCGATAGTGGGCATGCAGGAGGCAGACAATCAATGTTTCTCTCTCTCTCTCTCTCTCTCTCTCTCTCTCTCTCTCTCTCTCTCTCTCTCTCCTCCCTCCCTCCCTCTCCTGTCCCCTCACTCTAAATCAATAAAATCATATTTTAGAAAAGAAAGAAGGAAAATAGCACCAGGGCAGGGCTATCTGAAGATACATTCGGTAGTGTGTTAACTATACAAAAATAAATAGTACAGTTTAAAAACAAATCTTACACAGCCTTACTTCTCAATTTTTTTTTCTTTAAAAGGAGTGAGTTGTGTACAGGAGGTTAAATGCTTTATAGACAAGAAAAAAAATTGTGCAAGAACCAGCTTCTTCATCTTCTTCATCTTCTTCCTCCTCATCATCCTTTTCTACTTCCTCGTCTTCCTTTTCTTCTTCTTTTTCTTGCTTGTTCAGCCCTGACGACTCCCTTCTCGCCGCACCTGGCTCTCCTTTAGCTCGGGGTGCAGCAGACCCTTCGGCTCAGCAGCCTCCCTGTCCACGGGCCGCTGGCCGCCTGCAGCAGCGCCTCCACACCGCCCGGCTTCTCTGCAGCATCACCAATGGGCAGGCCAGATGCTCTCCTGTGATTTTTGCCAACAACTTCCTGGTTCCGCCCCACCTCTCCCATATTTATCTCAAAATTTAGGCAGAAAAAAATTGTTACTGCTTTTTTCCAAATGTTATTATTCTTTTCCTTCAAGGACTTCCAATTTGATTCAACAAGTAGGGATCTGGAGCCTGCCAGGTTCACAGCTCTCTGCCAAGCACCAGCCTCGGCCTTCACACTGGCCGTCCTGGCTTCTCCCCAGCCCAGGGACAGAGAGGAATGAGACGGCCTGGCTGTGCTCACAGCACCCTGATCATGTCACCAACACAGCCCCTGTGCCACACACTGAAATCCCGTGCTTCTCTCCTTCAGAGAGGAGGGACCACCGCTCAGTCACCGCTGCGGCCCAAGCCCCTGTCACAGCTCCTGGTGCAAAGGAGGTTCCATGGGACAGGTCAGTGAGTCACATGCGGCTCTTTGGCCCCTTGAGTGTGGCTCTCCCACAAAATACCACGGCCTGGGCGAGTCTATTTTGAAGAAGTGGCGTTAGGAGAAGTCTAAGTTTAAAAAACATGGCTCTCCAAAGAAATTTCAATCGTTGTCCTGTTGATATTTGGCTCCGTGGACTAATGAGTTTGCCGACCCCTGGGTTAGTCGAACCAAATGGAAACCGGTTCCAGAGAGGCCCCTGGCTTAGCGGTAAACCGGTGCTGCTGTTCCGGCCGCCACCACCTCCCGAGGACCCGCATGCACACTGACGCTTTGGGTTCTACAGTTCCTGACCATAGACGCATGCCGTGGGCAGTCCCGGCAAACCCTCTCCCGGGACCACGTGGGACTGAGTCTCTGCAAAATGAGCCGTCGCTATTCTCCCTCTCCGCCTTCCTCACAGCCAGAGACAGGCGGGTGAGGGTAAGGTCTGCCTGACCTTGAGGCCAGGATGCCACTCTGACTTCCAGTCAGTCAGCTGGCAGAAACACCTGGTCTTCCTGCCTGGCAACCCCAACATAGAACACAGCCAGGTCTGTCTCCCCTATCCCCCCCCCTCACCCTCCCCAAACACACACACACACACACACACACACACACACACACACACACACGACTGGTCAGACTGGTATTTCTGGGTCCCCACCACTAGGGGTGTGGACTCCAACCGTGCAGCAGCCCCACCTGAGGATAATCCGCAGGTACTCAATGCCCTCCACCTCCTCGCACTTGATGGACAGGAGCAGGTTCCCCAGGCTGCTCCCGGTGCAGTAGAAGTTTAGATGATCCTAGAAGCAGAAATCGGGTGTTAGCAGGGGTGAGGGGGGCCTTCCAGGCACAGCCCCCCAAATCCCCTCCTTCACCAGGAGTGAGAAGCCCCACAGCAAGGAGGAAGAGCAGGATGTGCCAGCTGTGGCTGCTATAGATGGGGAGGAGAAGGAGAAGGAGGAAAGGGAGGAGGAGAAGGAGGCAGAGGAGGAGGAGGAGGAGGAGGAGGAGGGGGATCACAGCAATTGGCTCCAATGACCAAATCCTCAGGCTGTCTGTGCCAGGCCCTGGGCTAATTGCTTAGTGCCCATTATCTCCTGTAACCCAGACCACAACTTTAGGGGGGCAGAAGGAGAAAACATGTACAGGGCGGTTTAAGTCACTCCCCAGGGTCACACAGCTAGCAGGCGGCAGATCCAGGATTCAAACCCACACACGCCTTGGTGAAGCTCAGTGCTTCCCCACAGGACACTGAGTCCACCCCTAGTCCCAGGGAGCAGCCCCTGCCGGTTCAGGCGATCTGGGAGAACAACAAAGGGCAGGGCCTGGCACCTCCACCACGTGGACAGTGGGTGTCCCAGTGGGTCTCCCCCAGCTCAGGGGCGCACCCAGCCTGCTATTAGGGCGGGGCCTGGACTCTGCATGTGAACACGGCAGGGAGACAAGAGGATCCTGATCCATCTCCCGGGAGACTCAGCAAAGCTGAGGGGCCGGGCCGGAGACTTCCGGAGCCTGCCCTCGGGACTTCTGGAACCTGGCAAGGCTGAAGGCCGGGATGTATTTAAAGGAACGGAACTGTCCCGGTTAAGCAATCAGAGGCTCAGAGCACATCCCAGCACGAGCACCCGGGACCTGGCTGAGGGAGGCCACGAGGGATCTGTACTATTTACCCGGACACGGAGGCCTCCAAGGAGTGAGATGTATTTTCTCCTTCCACCCTCCTCCGCCCCCAAACACGGCCTATTCGGCCGCCTCCTTGTGGCGGTCCCACAAAGACCCATCACACTGAGCCCCCTGGGCTCCTGCACACCCTCGCCCCCTGCCCAGGAGCAGAGCCAGGAGGACAGAGGCAGGCAGCGAGCCAGGGGGGTCAGGGCAGAGAAGGGGGCGCTGGGGAGGGACGCTGGGTTCCCCAGGCATGCGCGCGCACACACACACACACACACACACACACACACACACACACACCCCGCAGCCGCGTTCGCCCAGGCCTGGCTCACCTTGCCCAGGAAGTGCCTGCGGTAAGCCCTGGCTTCACTCTTGCACTCGAGCTTGTAGCCGAAGGTGCTGGGGCTGAGGCCGCCCTCGTCCTCCTCCTCGCAGATGCTGCTGCCCAGCGAGGTCGGCGTGCCCACGGTCTCCGGGTCCTCGATCCAGTAGCCCCCAAACTGGGGCAGGACAATCAGGGGGTACGGGCCTCCCTTCTCCACAACCTGGAGGCAAAGGGAGAGTCTTGCCCTGGTCTGCAGGGGGAGCGGAGGGGCATCGACGGTGGTATCCCCCCCAATCTGAGCTACTCCACAGGGGGGACGCCCAAATGTGAATCCAAAGGTAGTAACATGAACCCCTCCTCCAACATCCATAATATCTCCAACTTCGGCACTCCTGATTTTTTTTTTTTGTCTTTTTTAATATATTTTTTATTGATTTCAGAGAGGAAGGGAGAGGGAGAGATAGAAACATCCATGATAAGAGAGAATCATTGATTGGCTGCCTCCTGCATGTCCCCAACTGGGGATCGAGCCTGCAACCCAGGCATATGCCCTTGACCAGAATCGAACTTGGGACCCTTCAGTCCACAGTCTGACACTCCATCCACTGAGCCAAACGAGCTAGGGCTAATTTTTTTTTTTTTTTTTTAAAGCTGAAGTTGCCAAAACTGGTTGGCTCAGTGGATAGAGCATCGGCCTTTGGACTGAAAAGTCCCAGGTTCAATTCTGGTCAAAGGCATGTACCTTGGTTGCAAGCACATCCCCAGTGGGGTGGGGTGCAGGAGGCAGCTGTTGGATGTCTCTCTCTCTCATCGATGTTTCTAACTCTCTATCTCTCTACCTTCCTCTCTGTAAAAAATCAATAAAATATATTTAAAAAAAAAAAAAAAAAAAAAAAAAAAAAAAAGCTGAAGTCACAAATGGGAAAGGTCTCAGGCCCTCACATCCCAAGGCTCTCCCCACCATGGGGCAGCGGAGGGACCATCACCATCATCACCATCAGCTCCCCCAGCCTTGGGCCCCGAGATGGGATCCAGGGGGCTCCTACCTCGTCGATGCTGGGGTACGGGATATAGTCGTCCTGCAAGACAAACACACAGTGCCACTGTCAGTCCCAGCACGGACCCCCGAAGCTCAGTCACTCTTTCCCTTCCCTCCCCCAGGCCGGGGGGAGCTGCTGGGGGCCTGGCAGGCTGCACCAGGGCTCCGGACACATCGGCGGGTGGACAGCCTAGAGGCAGCCTGGGCTCTGGCTTCTCTCGAGTTCTCCCGGGAACGGACAGAGCCTGAGAGCAGAGGGGCAGCGGAAGACGCAGTGCAGAGAAGGAAGACGCAGGACACAAGGTGCTGGACCTCACACGCATCCTGACACATGCTGCTCTCCCAGGAAGCTCCCACAGGGAGATTGGCCTGGTCCCCCCTCCCCAGGCCATGGGGCTGACCTCCGGGGGAGAAACTGCACTCCTGGGCCTCGGAAACAGACCCTGAAGCTGAGAGCTGACTGCCTGGGGGAGCCTGGAGCAGAGCCTGGCACCCCTACACACACTGTGGTTCGCCCACAGGAGCAAGCGTGCGGGAGCCAGGCCACACTGCAGACCTGGGGTCTCCCCCGAGGCCTCCACCCCAGCCTGCTCCGAAGCTGCCTAACGGCCTCGCTTCCTGCTCACCGTGCCCTCGTCAACAAGGTGCAGCCACTTCGGTGGCTCCTGGCAAAAACCAGAGTTTGATGGTATAAGACAGCGGGCCCCAGCATGCTGGCCGCTCCCTCTGCCTTGCTCTCACCCGGCCCCCTCACGGGGCCCACCTGGCTGCCACCTCGCCCACCCAGCCCACCTTGTTCTTCTGGGGTCCCGGCTTCTGCTCCTCCAGCTTGATCCCCTGCAGAAACAAGGAAAAGAGGATCCATGGACAAGCAAGGGTCACACAACAGAGACGGCACGGAGGAGTCTTATGGGAGCACCTGCCTTAGTGGGGGGGGGGGGGGGGGTTCGTGGCAATCACAGCAAAGGGCTGCCAAGGGCTGGGCCCTTGCAAGTCACACACCTCGTCACACTCAGACCTCCCAGCAGCCCGTTCGAGGCAGTGGGGCAGGGGGTGAAGAGCATGGACTCAGCCAGACCACCTGAGTTTAAATCCCAACACTGTTGTCACTTACGACCTCATGACCTTGGGCAAGTCACAAAACCTGTCTGTGGCTCCGTGTTCCCAGCTGTACAATGGGAACAGCGAGGGCCCCTACGACGGTGGTGAAGGTAACGTGTGGAGGACAGGTTAAGCCCGTGGAAGAGTGACTGACCGCCATATAGTAAAGGCCATGACTTACTGCTGTCACGAGGCAGGCAGTGTCGTCATCATGGTGTTGAAATATCGCCCCCAGTCTCCCAGAGGATGAGGTGAGGGGCAGAAAGGGAACCCAGGTCTGTGGGAGTCAGAGCCAGACTCTGGACCTCATGCCACACCAGCTCCACCCCCTCCCTGTGGGAGGGCCCGTGGGCAGCCGGCAGGTGGCCTGAGCCTGGTCCTCATCCTGCCACGGTGCTGCTGTTAGTGACGCCTCACCATGCTAAGCCTCTGTAGCCGCCTAGTTTCCTCTGTGAAACGAAGATTCTAACACCCCCCCCACACACCCCGTCTCAAGGGGCAGACACCAGCGGGGCCTGGGTTACACGGCTCCCCCGCGGGCATAGGGAAGACTCCCCGCGGGGACAGGGCCTGGACCGCACGGTCCAGTTCCCACTTAACTGGGTTTGTGGGCGGAGGGCACGCTGCATTCCCACAGGCACGGGACTCAATCCACATCCTCGGTGGGACAGCCAGGAGAGAAGAGGGTCAGGAAGCAGCTGCTGCCTCGTCCTAAGACCGGGGCCTGGGGCCGTCCACAGCCCACTCCCTCTGCTGCCGGCCCCTCCGAAGCCCTCAGCGCCTTTTTACTGAAGAGGAAACCGAGGCCCAGGGCGGAAGCTGCCTGCCGGATGTCACACAGTCGGTGCCCGGAAGGGCCACCTGTCCACCAAGTGCATGGCCAAATCGCCGAGGCCCCAGGCTGAGGGTTCCTGCTCGCTTGGCAGACTTAGACGGCGGCTCTGGGCTGAGTCACCCTGCGGGCCTGGTCAGGTGGGCGTGGGGGGGCCCTCCCATGGGCAGGTGCTCCTCTCCCCACACAGGGAGGAAACCACCTGGGCGGCCCACAGACCCTGGGCGGGTGGGGAAGGGCCTGACGTCAGTTTGCTTTGTGTGTCCTGCATGAGTCATCCCAGCCTGGGAACAGCCCCTGGGCCGGGAACAATCCTCCTCCTGTCCCTCCCCTCCGCCTGGACAGAGCCACTGCTGTCCCCTCCCCTCATCGCCTCTCCTCCTCCCCCTGCCCCGCCATGAAGAAACTGGGGCTCAGGGGGGTGGGACGGCTTGACCAAGGTCACTCCGCTCCGGACGGTCAGCATTAGAACTTGAACCCAGAACGGAGGGGACCCAACACGGTGCCGCACGGGACCTGTGCCCTTCTTCACATTCCTAGCCTCCGGGGTCTTAGTTTCTGCTCCTCACAACTCACAGAGGGCTGGGCACCTGCCCACGGAGATTCAGGCCCACACTGCAGCTCCAGGCCAGATCCTCATGGGAGTTTGTTTCCTACATACAGAGGAGCTGGAAACCCCGGCCCCTCAGAGGCTGGGCCCAGTGGGCACATGGTCGGGACCTAAACACTGAAGTCTCCACTGACACGGCGTCGGCAGCCGCCCGTGGTGTGGGCTGCCGTGAGGACACGGGGGAGCCACAGCCAGCCGCCTGCCCTGCAGAGGCTCCCGATCGAGCTAAGAGGTCCAGCCCGCGGCCCCCAAACAACAGGACAGCACAAGGCTGGCTGGATCATTTGCTCAAACAGAGGAACAGGTGCTCCCTGGGGGCGAGGGACGGGCAGTCGTGGAGAAACCGGAGAGAAGGCAGGGTGCGCTGCAGACCTCCTGCCAGTCGCCCAGACTGCCACGACTCCACGGGCTCAGGTAAGACCAGGCTCTCCTCCAGCAGATGGAGCGCTCCATTACATAGGCACCTGCCACCCCTGTGCCCACCCCCTGGTTCTAAGTCCCCTAAATGCATATAAATGCATATTAATTAGCTGGGAGTCCACACTCTCCTGGCACAGAGGCGGGTCTTAATAGCTTGCTCGTGATAATGACACAACCACTACGAGTATATTTCTCTCAAACCAGCCCTCCCCTTCCCCATCCTGAGGGAGACCCGCTTTCCGGGGAGGACCTGGCTCATTCACGGCAGCAGTGCTCTCAGAAGCTCCGCCTGCGTCTCCGGACGGCAGTGGGCACCCTGCATACCTTTCCTCCTATTCCAGACCATTCCTATAGGCCAGCGGTCGGCAAACTCGTTAGTCAACAGAGCCAGATATCAACAGTACAACGACTGAAATTTCTTTTGAGAGCCAAATTTTTTAAACTTAAACTTCTTCTGACGCCACTTCTTCAAAATAGACTCACCCAGGCTGTGGTATTTTGTGGAAGAGCCACACTCAAGGAGCCAAAAAGCCGCATGTGGCTCGAGAGCCGCAGTTTGCTGACCACTGCTATAGACCCTTCCTTCCTTGCCCCTGGAGATTCTGATAATTCAGGTAAGAAGCATGACAGAATGACTATGCCTTCTGGCTCTGTAGCTACTTGCTAGCCATGAGCCCTTGAAAGTTTTCATTTAATATCTCTGTGCCTCACTTTTCTCACCTGTAAAATGGGAATGATGGTGATAACAACAACATACCTGCCTTCTGGGGGCCTTGTCAAGAAGAAATGAGATAACACCTGTCAATCTCTTACCCCAGACCAGTGCTTAACATCCACTGAGTGGCCAGATTATTATGATCTCTGAAACACATAATCTGGCCACTCAGTGTACTCTCTTGAGTACCTCATTTATTTAATATCAAAAACACTATAAGTCGTGCACCTGATCAGTTTTCCCCTTTGCACTGGCTGATAGAAAGCTCAGGGCAAATAGGTGGCTGATGTCCAGCAAAAGTCTAGAATACTTTTGGCACCCGTCTGAGGTACAAATATACTGAGCGGCCAGATTAGTATGCGTTCAGAGATCATAATAATCTGGCCACTCAGTATATAGGTGCTATTATCAATGTGTTCTTGCCACTCTTTCCACCTGGATCAATTATACCTTCTGGACCTCTCCCCATATTCCTGAGAGCAATTACAAAGGCCCCCACACTAAACACGGATTCTATGCACTGCCCACCAAGTATTTATAGAAATTATCTCGTTTTATCCCAGAAACAATGCATGTAAACATTTTCGTTCTTCTAGCTTTACAGAAGCTGTGACAGTGATTTATTATAAGAAATATATATATATTGGTCTTTATCCTGTTCCTGGCACGGAACTCCTAAAACCCTTGGGATTTCCTAAGTGACAAGAGCAAGGAGAGCACTTGGGAGCAGTCTTGTTTTAGGATCTGGTCTTCCGTCCTGGGTTCCTGCAACAGCTCCGGGACCATAAAGGTGAAAGGAGTGTTCCCCAGGAGTTTATGTTCATGAGGTGACTTCTGGGACTTTCCTAAGGATGGGAGCTGACCGACAGGGGAACCCATCGGCCACTCCCACTGGAGGGGGAGGGACAGAAGCTGGAGGCTGAGACTATCACCCACAGCCAGTGATTTTATCCATCATACCTAAGTAATGAAGTCTCCATCAAACCCAAAAGGACGGGGTTTGGGGAGCGTCTGGGGTTGGTGTGCCCGAAGAGATGTGGGGAGAGCGGGGCATCAGAGGGCATGGCCGCTCTGGGCCCCTCCCACAGGCCTTGCCTACGCTTCTCTTCCCGCTGGCTGCTCCCGAATTGCACCTTCTTCCCATAAGCTGGCAATCTGGTAAGTACACCGTTTTTCCTGGGTTCTGGGAGCCAACTTAGCAAATTAACTGAACTGCAAAAGGGGGTGGTGGGGACCTCCTACGTATAGCCGATGCACCAGTCGGAAGCCCAGGTGGCAACCTGGACTCGGCACTGGCATCTGAGTGCCCCGTGGGAGCTGACACTACCTCCAGGGAGACAGCGTCAGAACTGCGGGGAACCCAGCGGGCTCTCAGCCTTGTCTGGTGGGGGAACACAACCACACATTTGGTGTCAGAGCGAGGGGAGAACGCTTCTGTTAGTAGACACAAAACACAGGAGCGAGCGGTTAGAAAGGGGAGGAATTTGGCAAGCCAGCGTTAGAGGCGGAGTTTGAACTCAGGTCTGTCCCTCGCCCTCCGCTCTGCCTCCCGGACAGGGGATGAAGCCCCCGCGAAGGGGCTTTCTTTCCAGCCGTTCCAGGAGCACCTCTCAGACTCTCCCCCGGCCTGGGGCTGACGGCAGCCCATCCGTCCACGCTGCTGGGATTTCTGTTTTTTATCTTCTCCCTGGTCTGAAGCCTCTGTGCCACTCAGTGTGGAAATGGCCTCGGGCTGTCCGGGCCTTGGGGACGGTGAGTTCTCTCTTCTCTGCCCCTCCCTCCAAGGTGCCCACGTTCTGCCCGTGGGTTCTGCCTGGTGTTGTGTCCTCCGAAGTCACTGCAGCACTTCTTCCACCTCCTCCCTCCCTCCCCCCGGGGTTGGGCTCTCCCCCTTGGGGGTGGATGCTCACCTGCATTTTCTCCAGCATCTCGAAGAACTCCGCGGACTGAAAGACACAAAGAGGGGAGAGGAAGGTGGGTGTGAGCCAGGAGGCCTGCTGAGAAAACCGCCTCACGGACCGACCGTCTAAAAGCTTCTTCAGCCCAGGGCTTTCCCGGAGACAACATGCATTTGGATCAAGAGGGAAGGTAATTGGATTTCTGCCTTCCCAGAGCTGCGGGGCCAGAACACCCCACACCACACAACAAAGGGAAAGATTAAACACGGAGGCTGGCCAGTGCCACTGGGAGAGCAGCCACGCCGTCTCCGTCAGCAGAGAGGAGCGTGGGGGCCTCTGGGAAAATCCGAGTTCCCCAGGGAACCATGGGAGTCGGCCTCCAGCAGGGTTCGTGTTTGGGGTGTTTTCAGCCCAACAGTGGGGCCAAGGCGTCCACCACGAGCAGTCTTCCAACTGCTTTGCCAACACAGCCCTTCCATCTTCTTCTACAAACTCTCACTTGGAACCCTGATACAGAAAAGAAATAGGGGTTTCTCAATGGTTAGAGCACTGGCCTGCGCACCAGAGGGTCTCAGGTTCAACTCCGGTCAAAGGCGCGTCACCTGGGTTGCAGGTTCGATTTCCGCACCTGATGAGTCTCTCTCACATGGATGTTTTTCTCTCCCCCGCCTTCTCTCGCCCTCCCCTTCCCTTCCACATTCTCTCTAAAAATCAATGGGAAAAGTATTTTCACTTCTTGGGTGAGGATTTTTTTTTTTTTTAAGGCAATAAAAGCAGGGCCATCCTGGCCAGGGCAGCAGGTGGGGCCTGGGCCCTGGATATGCCGTCCCTGCCTGCGGCTGCCCGGGGCCTGCAGCTGGAGAAGCACAACCTGGAAACCACTGAGTGGCAGCCTCCGGGGGCCCGGATGGGCTGTTTTAAAAACCTCAAACTATGTAATCCAAATCAGTCTCCTGCTTGGATACTACCTTTGTCAACTCCAGGTGAGACCAAAAGAAGGAGGAGGAAGTGGGAGGAAGGTGTGAGGGGCTGAAAGTTCTACCCTAACTAAATAAACACTGGTTTCCCCACTTCCCATTCAGTGGAAACAGCACTTGTCTGAACACCACTGCCCACATCTGGGCCCTGGCAAGCCGTGAGTTCACGAGTGCCCAGACAGAGAGGAGAGAACAGAAAGCAGACCCAGTGTGTCCTTGTCACTTCTCTGTGCAGAGCTAGAGCATCCAAACGCTGTCCCTTCCTCTGCAGGCATCAACAGCCAGGGCCACCTGGAGCCCAGCTGCCCTCAGAGTCCTCAGGAGAGACTCGCCATGGGAGGGTCCCTCGTGGGGGCACCTGGGGAGACCCAGCCCGGCAGCAGGCTCCCGATGGCCCCTCCCAGGCCGAAGCGACCTGTCAAAGGCAGAGTGTCTCTGACCCACAAGCAGTTCAGGTCGCAGGGTCTGGAAACCCCATGTGGGAATGTACATTGTTTTTAAAAAAGGAACAGCATATTAGACTTCACCAAAATGAAGAGTGTTTGTACTTCAATGGGCAATCCACAGAACAGGAGAAAATATTTGCAGATCCTATGTCTGATCAGAGATTTGTATCTAGAATATATTTCTCCAAGGAAGTTATGCAAAGAGACAACAAGAACATGCAAAGATGCTCAACATCACTAATCATTGGGAAATACAAAACAAAACCACAATGAGAGAACACTTTACACCCACTGGAATGGCTAGAACCAAAAAGACAACAACAAGTATTTGCAAGAATAAAGGGAAATTAGAACCCTCGTATACTGTTGGTGGGAATATAAAATGGTACAGCCACTGTGGAAAACAGTTTGGCAGTTCCTCACAAAGTTAAGCAAAGATTCACCATTTGACTTAGCGACTCCACTCCTGGGCAATATACCCCCAAGGAAAATAAGATCATATGTCTACACAAAACCTGTATACCAATGTTCACAACAGCAACATTCATAATATCCAACGAGTGGAAGCAACCCCAATGCCCACCAACTCATGGTTAAACAGTTACCGCAGACTCATACAATGGAACCATACTTAGCCATAAGAAGGAATCAAGCCGAAACCAGTTTGGCTCAGTGGATAGAGCGTTGGCCTGCGGACTGAAAGGTCCCAGGTTCAATTCCAGTCAAGAGCATGTACATTGGTTGTGGACACATCCCCGGGAAGGGGGGAGGGAGGGAGGTAGAGGAGGCAGCTGATGAATGTTTCTCTCTCGACGATGTTTTTACCTCTCTATCCCTCTCCCTTCCTCTCTATAAAAAATTTAAAAAATCAATAAAATGTATTTTTTTAAAAAAAGAAGGAATCAAGTACTGGTTTTGGAAGGGAAACAAAAAGTGTGCAAAGGACATGAACAAGTTGCTCAAGGAGAAAGATGAAATGACCAAGAAACACAAGGGACATGCCCAACCTTCCTGGTTATTAAAGAAATTAAGATAACATCTTCCATCTATCTGATTGGCCAAGATTAAAGAGAAAACCCAGTGCCAGCAAGGATATGGAGCTAAGGACACAGGGGCAACAGATACATGTGCACCTGGCACACCTTTCTGAAGGGCAGTTGGGCACAGTGAGCCCAAAGTCTAGAACGGTCCCATGTTTTGGTCCAATAAACCCACTCCAGGAATGTAATATTTGAACAACTACACAAGGATATGTGTGCAAGAATATTTGTCACAACATTGTTTATAGGCAAAAAGAAATTTTTTTTTTTTAAAGCACAAACAGCCAAAGTATCCACCAGTGAGGTTAAGAATAATACTGCATGGGAGTAAGCTCATACAATCAAATACTATGACAGGAGATCGGTGCTGATTCTGTTAGCACAAATATTTACAATGTGTGGCTAAGTGGAAAAAAAATAGTCTAGAGCATGATCCCATTTTTTTTAATTAAATGAAAAAAACCTATTTGGGTGGATGGATAGAGATAGATTCATGGATACATAGATACATGGCTGATAGATATACAGATAAATCTGCATGTAAATATACACATGAGTCATCCAGAGAAATAGATCTTGAAGGATACATGCCGAAATGAATTACAGGTTAAGGATAAACTTTTTCTTTTTGCTTCCCCCACCTCCTGCTCTAGGCCCTTCCACCACTTTCATGACAGGGTGTGTTCAGGGACACAAGGACAGCCTTTGGTGCCCAAAGGAAGTCCCTGGATTCAAGCCAACTCGTGTCCAGGTCTGACCTTGGCTTGGTGTGTTATAGACAGCGAGGCTCTCCTGAATCACCCCCAAATTCCTCTATTATCCATGCCAACTGGCAATCAAACAATATTTCAGGTATATTCTTAGACAATGCCCTTGTATTGGTTAATCAGTTCACCTAACCCCATGGTTGGCAAACTGCGGCTCTCGAGCCACATGTGGCTCTTTGGCCCCTTAAGTGTGGCTCTTCCACAAAATACCACGGCCTGGGTGAGTCTGTTTTGAAGAAGTGGCGTTAGAAGAAGTTTAAGTTTAAAAAATTTGGCTCTCAAAGAAATTTCAATCGTTGTACTATTGATATTTGGCTCCGTTGCCTAATGAGTTTGCTGACCACTGACCTAACCTAATAAGCCCTGCAAAGCATGGACTGGACGCTGGAAATACTAAGCCAGGGCCCAGTTTCCAGGGTACTTGATGTTAACTATGACACAAAGTACCCAGGGATATTTTACAGACGACCAGTGGTCCAGGGGCATAGCACTTATGGCTGAGCAGGCAAGTGTATTAGTTCTCTATTGCTGTGTAACAAATGACTCCAAAGCTTAGTGACTCAAAACAATTTCTGTGGGTCAGGACTTCCCAGTGGCTAAGTTGTGTAGTTCCAGCTCAGGGTTTCTCTGCTGGTTCCAATGAGGAGCCAGCTAATCCCTTCACCTTCTTTTATGCAGTCCCCTCCCTGCCTGCGCCCCACCCCCACCCCCAATACCTATCAGTCTGCTCCATGTATCCATGCCTCTGGTTCTATTTCATTCATCAGTTTATTTTGTTCATCAAACTCCACATATAAGTGAGATTATATGGTGTGATCTCACTTAGCATAACAATATTCATGGACATATTTTATTTTTTTTAATATATTTGTATTGATTTCAGAGAGAAAGGGAGAGGGCAAGAGCAACCGAAATATCAATGATGAGAGAGCATCGTTGATCGGCTGCCTCCTGCACTGGAGATTGAGCCCTCAACCCAGATGTGTGCCCTGACCGGGAAACGAACTGTAACCTCCTGGTTCATAGGTCGATGCTTAGCCACTGAGCTTCATGGACATATTTTAAAATCACCACATCAAGGGAAGCTCCTTGCAAAAGGTGGAATCCCAGGCAGACCTTACAGAATAAACAGATCACTTGACAGAGAGGTGGCGAGGGTATTGCAGGCAGTGGCAACTGCAAGGGCAAAGTGGGGGGAAGGTGGAGAACCATGATGTGGACTGGATGAATTTGGATCAATCTGGCTGGACGGAGGCCTCTCGGTCAACATCCTGAAGATCAGACGGGAAAGAAGGGCTGGAGTCTAGGCCTGAGAGTCCCTGAGAGAATGCCAGAAACTCAGGCTTAACCTGGAAGGCAGTGGAGAGCTACTGAGGTCTGGCTACTGTAGATACAGGATGCAGTCGAATCCAGTGGTCAAAGCCACGTCTGGGAGTGGCCACCGGCTACTGCCCAGCTGTGGGGCACGAGGCAAGTCACTCCATCTCAGTCCCCTCACCTGGAAACGGGAGGTGTCACCCCTGCCTTTCAGGGCTCAGGTGAGGGTGAAGTGAAAGCATGAACACGACGTTCCGGCCAAAGCCTGGTGCACAGCCAGCACTCAGGAAACAGCAGAAGGAGCTACTGGAGAGCTCACTCTGCAAAGAGCTCTGTCCCATCGGGGGAACGGCAAGGAGTTTTAGGTTCATTTTCTCTGATTTGGGACACTTGGCTTTTCTTACCATCATCTGTTTTCCCAGAAACGGGCGTTTAAATGAGTATTAAAACGGGCCTGTGTTTCCCGAATGGAGATGAGATGCTCCAGGGGCTGGCACAGCC